GAGGGAATGGCCTCAAGCTGTGCCAGGGCACGGTCAGGCTGTCTCTGAGGAAGGATTTCTTTGCAGAAGGGGCTGTTGGGCGTTGGAATGGGCTGCACAAGGCCGGGGGGAGTCCCCATCTCTGGAGGTGTTGAAGAGTCGGGTTGACCCAGCGCTGAGGGATCTGGTGGCATTGGGAACGGTCAGGGTGAGGGTCATGCTTGGACTGGAGGAGCTTCAAGGGCTTTTCCAACCGAGATGATCCTGTGATTCTGTGACTGAACTTCACTACCATCCCCTGTCTCAGAAATTCTTCTCTTCTGGTTCCAACCCTTGCTTCAGTTTCAGGGTGGTCGTCTTCATCTTTCTTCCACACAACCTAATCTCACCCAAATCTGGGAAAGACTTCAAGATGTTCTAATGAAAAGCTTTGGTAGAGTGAGCAATTTCTATGACCCGAGTTGTCTTAACGTAGCAAAAGCCCTGTGTTTAGTCAATTCCTCCTCCTTTGTTAAATCTAAAATGGGATTAGCTTGGCTGGGTTTTAACCCAGCCTTGGGCCGGGACTATACAAGAAGCGGGCTAAGAACTTTTTCAGAGGGGGAGGACTCAGTGTCTCCTCCCCAAGCGAGAGCGGGCAGGATCCATCCCAAAGCACCATCCCTGCTCAGGGCCAGCGCCAGCTCTTCCCTCTCCCGTCCTCACCCTTCGGTCCTTCCTTCTCTTCTGTTCCAGGGTGTCCGAATTCCCGCCTTCCTCGGCTGCATCGACGCTGTCTCCAGACAGATCCAGGTTGGAGAGGAGGCCGTGACTATCCACAGGCCCGTCTTTCACTTGGCCAGAAACCTTCTCATTGTCCGAAACCTGACGGACAGCAAGGCCTTCCTGCCCGGTAAGAGGGGGATTAAACCTGGTTGGCTTCACGGTCATCGCGTCCCTTCCCTGGGGTTGAGAACTTCTCGGAAGTGACTCCTCTTCTGCGGAGCAGAGCCAAAAATTTGGGGTTTTTGTCTTTCTGAGCGAGGCAACGACCGTTTTGTCTCGGAAAGCGCCTGTGGAAGGGCCACTGGCTGAACGTCTCCATCCCTCTTGTGGTTTTTTTCAGGGAACAAGGAGCTGGAGCCCCTCAAATACTGCAAGGTGGCCGCAGCCGCCTCGGTGTCCTGGCAGCAAGCGGAGGGCTGCATCCAGGGCACCGTGTCCCTCCTCTCCTCTCTTACTGCCTGGGGAAGGGGGAGATGTCCTGAGGGACACCGGGGTGCTCCTCACTGAAGTCAAGACAGCAGAAATGAAGTTCTACTACGACTTCCTGGAGACGTTTTCTGGGAAGGAGAACTTGGAACAAGAGATTTTCAAGGTGAGCGGTTCTGTTTCTCCGTGGTGTGCGGGCAGTCCCATGGTGGTGTCCCGGCAGGACAAGGCCAGAGGAGAGCTGATGGTCCTACCAACTCTCCCTGCCTCAGGCTCCACCAATACAGCCTCACAGCCATGTTGAGGACGTCCCACCATCTTGTTGCTCCTCCACTGCAGGTCCCCTGGCTGCTGGACATGGTGGTGTCCCGGATGGTACCTGTGGCCTCCCTGAGTTTCTCTGGCCATGTCGTCATCTTTCCCGAGTGAGGATGTTGGCGGCTGTAGCCGCTCTCAAGGTGACATTTGCTCCTCTTGACCCCGCGGGCGTCCTCCCTTGGGGCCACCCATCAGTCACTCTTGATATCCCCGGGCCGTGGTCGCTCCCGTAAGGCAGATTTGATGGGTAGGACCGAGGAATTTAGACAACACTTTCTGCCCATGGGGGCCTGGACTAGGATTTTCTGACCCAGCCAGAGCCCGGTCCCCGGCCCCGAGCATTCGCCATCCATCACCGCCCATCGGAGCGGTGGGTTGGGGCTACTGTGAGCCCCCAGTTTCACGGATCTTCTCCAGCCCTCAGGAGAGCCCCAGCGTGGCCT